GGCCGCAGCAGCGACGGCGGCGGCCGCCCTGGCACTCCTGCTCCGCCGGAGTCGTTCCCCTGCCCAAACACGGCGCGGCCCTTCTCGACATTACGCCGTGTGGTCCCCGTCACAGGGTCTCCCTGGCATGCCTGCCGCGCTTGGCTCCAAAACCCTGAGGCTGGGAGGGAGATCCCAAAGAGCTAGGTTGCTGCAAACTGGGCGGTAGCGTTTGTCAGCTACCCCGCCGCAAGCCGTCCTTCGCGGCCCTTGAAAGAGGGGTCATTGTTTAGTTACAGAGCACATGGTTGGTGAACTGGATCGAGGCCGGTTTCTTTCCTAGCTTGTCCAGGGAAAAGGCTCCGGTGGGGCAGGGCTAGGAAAGAAAGATCTCCTTGCATCTCACTGGCCCTGGAAAGATGCTAGCTAGTCATCTGTGCTGGGGTGCCTGAGGATCAGACTCGGAACCAACCTCTATCATTTGATTTGTGGGTGGCCCCCTCACTATTAGGCAGAGTTGTTAGGCATCCTTCAGTCTCGAGAGACTATGGTGACGTGCTCTGTATAGAGGACTTGGAACAGCGTCTAGTGTGGCTGAAGAGGCCAATTCGAGAGTGACAATCTCTTCTACACTGAGTGAGTGTAGGCAGAGTGAGTGTTGTGGAATGCCCCAGACACTTGTTAGAATGCACTGTTATAAAAGGCATCAGATTGCTGCCTAATTTATTGTCAAGTAAAAAAAAAACATATATCCTTGGCTGATCTTTTGTGTCCAGTAAACTGACCAGCCTTAGATACCACAGGCGAACCTGGGGAGTGGAGTGTCAAATTCTGCTGCTTGGCCTTGGCTAGCAAAATCTCAGCAATGTCTTTGCTTTTATAAGCCTGATGACTCAACCTACCTTTATGATTGAAACTGGCATTTTATGCCAAGATATTTCACATTTGGATTTGTTTGATCAAACAGTTTTTAAACCACATTTGCATCAAAAGACTGGAAATATGTACACTGTACTGTACTGAGAATGGATAGTTTTATGTTTACAAAAGTCTTGTATATAAGCCCCCCTTTCCCCCCACTACTCCATTCAGCAACCCATGCTACTCCTCCAACATCTCTCCCTGTGGACCTGAACCCAAGTAATACCAAGGTTCTGAATCTCATCTTCCTCTCTTAGAGGTCATGCCTATATCAGTCGTTACCCAAATTGGGTCCCCATATGAGTCATATGTTCTTGGAATAAAATTCCCCAGAAGCCTTCACCACTATTTGTGCTGGCCAGGATTTCTGGAAATCGTAGTCCAAGACCCAGGGTTGGGAACCACTGAGGACCCAGGGTTGGGAACCATTGCTCTGCATTATGCCTGGCCACCCTCATATTACAAGTAGAGAGGTCAAGAACAGGGCAAAGTGTGAACCTACCATATAGTGCTGGACCACAACTCCTAACATTGTTCATTATTAGTTGTGCTGGCCCAGGTGCATGGGAGTTGCAGCCCCAAAACATCTAGAACGCTCTATTTTACCCAGTTCTGATCTAGAGTGTAGCTTTTTAGGCCTGCCCTTTCCACTGATATGTAGGTATGCCATGAGGTCTTAGTTATGTGTATTTGTTAAAGATGAGTATTTCTTCCACCATAACGTGGAGATTATATTTCTGAAAGAATGTACCTATTCCTCTTAGCAAAGTAGAGAGAGATTTATGAAAATATGTCCTTGATCCATTGGAGGACTGATGGAGAGCTAGATAACTGTTACTGTTTCCCTTTAACAACTTGCTTAAGTATTTCCATCAACCACAGTTTCCTTCTGGGATGTCTTGCTGAGATGGGACTTGAAGGCACTGTCCTATAGTGGCACCAGGCCTTCCTGGTGGAGAGAATTCAGAAGATGCTGCTGGGAGACTCCTGTTATACATACTGGCCATTGGTTTGCAGAGTCCCTCGGGGTTCTGTTCTCCCCCCCCATGGTATTGAAAATCTACATGAAACTGCTGGGATAAGTTTTCTGGAGTTTGGGGGTACAGTGTCACCAATATGTGGATGACATCCAACTCTATCTCTCCTTGCCATCTAAATCTGAGGAAGCTGTTTTGGCCCTAGATTACGTCTGGTGTCAGTACTGGTCTGCATGAAGGTGAATAAACTGAAATGTAATCCAGACAAGACAGAGGTGCTCCTGGGCAGTTGAAAGTCAGATCAGGGAATAAGGATTCACTCTGTGTTCTAAAAACACAAGTGCACAGCTTGGGGGTCCTCCTAGATTCATTGCTGAACCTAGATGCCCAGGTTTTGGCAGTGGCCAGGAATGCATTTACACAGTTAACCTAGAGGGCCAGCTGCACCCATTTCTGGAGAGATCTGATCTAGCCAAAGTGACACACAAATTGACAAAGTTACAGTACATCCCATCTGGATTATTGTAACATGTTCTATATCGGGCTGATTTTGGAAAGAGTTTGGAAACTTCAGCAGGTCCAAAACATTGCAGGGAGTTAACTGGTGCTGGCTACAGGGATCGCACAACCCCCTGTTAAAGCTGCTCCAGTGGCTTATGATCCATTTCTGAGCACAATTGAAAGTGCTGGTTTCAGCCTATAAAGCCCTAAACAGCTTGGACTCACACTATCTCAAGGACTGTGCCTCCTTTTATGAGCCTGCCCAGGTGATAAGATCATCAGGAAAGGCCTTTCTCTTGGTCCCACCAACTTCACAAGTCCATTTGGTAAGGACACAGGAGAGGGCCTTCTCTGTTGTTGCTCTAAGACTCCGGAACTCCCTCCGACAGGAAGCTAGACCAGGCCCATCTTTGCTGTCCTTCTGCAAGCAGATGAAAACCTTTCTCTTCAGAAAGACTTTCCCTTAGTGATTGGCTATCTGAGAGGGATTTTTTTTTAATGGCGTGTTGTGCCTTGCTGCTTTGAATCTGTTTTTGGTGTTGATTTTGTTTACCATTTTAGTGTGGTATTTCTTTGATTCTTCTTAAATATTTGTATACTTACTATTGTTAGTTATTAAATATTGACTTTTAATGATATAAGCCACCTTGTGGTCTTTTTTAAGGAGAAAAGCAGGGGAAAATATTTTAAATACAGTAAATAGATAGTCCTTGGGAGATCTTACAATAAAGACTACAAAATATGGTAGGGAGGGCTCTTGAAGCACTGGTTGTGGCAGAAAATCTTACAACTGTTCCAATACACAGGCCTAATTTGGCTCACAAATTGCCTGGAAGATGCCTCACTCCCTCTCAAAAGCTCCAGTAGCCAATACAGTAGTAGAAATCCCCCTTGTGGCCATAAAGGCACTGAACTGAGAAAAGCACTGGATGAAGTGAGATAAGGGGAACATCATGTGGATGGCAAGAAAAACACCAGCAACATCAGCACAACATCTGGTGCTTTAAGAAGAAGAAAAGCTCTATCTATAATCCAGAAGACAAGGAACACAGGTGAATCCTGTTGTTGTCCGAGAGTCAAAGTGGGCATTAGAAAAAAATGCATATTCCCAAGAATGAGGATAACAGAATTTCATTAGAAATACAGTATACACTTTGGCAACCAGACTTCCAAATTAAATATGTGTTTCTCTTCCAACGATTAATTGCAAAATCACACTGAATGCAAGATATTCTTGAGAATCATCATATGCTGTGACAAATTTCTTTCACCACTGGAAGGAGCACTTCTTCTGAAAATACAGTATCCTAAATGTCTCTGATCCAGAGACAGAAATCAGATAATCATGGCAGGATTCCTTTCTCTTCCTTGTTAGGAATGCCAGTATAGTGGTTAGAATATTGGTCTAGAATTCATTAGATTTTGATTCCAATCCCCAGCCAGTCATGAAACCTACTGGATAACATGGCTAGTCACACCTCTCAGCCTAATTTACCTCACAGGTTTGTTGGGAAAGTAGAATAGGAAGAATGAGAAGAAGCATGTGTACTACCTAAATCCTCTTTGAAGGAATGGTGGAATATAAGTATAAATGATGATGTGGGAGATGACCTGTAATCTTATCTCGAAGAAAATAAGTTGGAGGAGAAACATGACACAAGAGGTGCAAGAGAGTGTGGAAAGGCATGGTTCTGAAACCATGAGATCATTTGAGTGCCCCCGCTGGGTTGATTTCGAAGGAAAAGCAGTTCAACTCCTAGCTTCTTCCCCATTCCTGCATTTAGATGTTAGTGGGCAAACTACTAATTACTCTTGATTGTTCCACTAAATACCTCAGCAGCCTCTCTGAGTACTGGTGATTTTTATACTCTGTATCCTGAATGAGTGATTGGCTGAACAAATTAATTATTCAACTAGTAAGTTCTGTTATTCCTTCCTCTGCAGGATAGTCACTGTGATCATTCATTCATGTCCCCCAGTGTATGTAGCACTACTGTGAGACAAAAGGAGGTATTACAAATGGGGAACAGTGGCACCAAATATGATCAGCCCGCCATGAAGACCATGCCTTAAAGGAGAAGGAACACTGAGGTAATGAAGACAGGACAATTTCA